ACCTCATTGACTACTCAGTCTCCACTGGCAAATACTTGATCTCACAGCAAAACACTTTCAGTTGCTTGACTCAAACCCTAAGTCCAATTTATTAAATCCTGTTGGCTCTGCCTTCAAGCACATCGCGACAGTGTGTCATGTCCACTGCTACTACTGTCATTTAGATAGAGTGGCCTTTAATAGGTTCAATGTTTAATAATGTTCATTCTGCTTAGCCCTTGCTCCCCGTTCAGCAGCTGGAGACAGCAGCGCCAGGGAGAGGAATCCTTCACAGAAAAAAGAAATCACCCTGGTAACAAATGTCACCAGATAGCCTTCCATCTGTTAAGTTTTCAAGTCAAAATATAAATTGAGTCTGTAGCTTTACATGCAGTCTAGTGCCTGTTGCCCTGCTCTGATTTCTCTCCGGCCCTTACTCGCGCACTCGCCCGCTCGCCGGGCCTGGGACGCGCCGCAACACCGGGGACGGTAGGTTCTGCCTAGAGCTCTACTTTGTCTTGGCTCGAACGTCATTTGTATTGTAAAGTCCTCACCGGACACTTTTAAAATACAACCCTAAGCACACCCTGTCCCACTTCCTGCTTTAGCTGTGTCCATGTCTCACAGCTGTCCATTTGAGTTCCTCCAGAACATGAAGAGCCTGAAATTTTTCGCTTGTTCACTGCTGGATCCCCAGCACCCAGAACAGTGCTTAGCACACAGTAAGCACTCAAGACGTGATGAACCAAATCACACGGCCAATAAAAGCCTCTATGGCTCTGCACACATGGAAGGAAGCAGAAAGAACTCAAGTTCTGTTATCGATGGATCTAGGGTCGGTAACCCCCGCTACTTAAGTAACAGTATGATCTTAGGTGAGCTACTTCCGTTCTCTGAATTTTGGTTTCTTTTGGAAATGGGGCCAATGCTTAAGGACTGCCATAAAATTTGAATAAAGTAGTATGTGAAAGTCACCAGCAGAGAACCTCACACATAGGAGACCTTCCAGGTATGTGTGTGAAGGAGCGTTTCACCTCAGCTTGTCTAAGACTCCTCCCCGTAACAACTTCCAACCTGAGCTTTCAATCACCAGCTAAACCTCGTGGGCAACTTTCAGCCTCAGGAGACCCATCAGAAACAAGCAACAGCTGACTCCCCTCTTGCCGACTTTATTTCCCTCTCCGGCAGAGCGAGCCCCGAGGCTCTTTTTAAGGCTCTCGTCGCCTGTTGATGAACGTGATTAGTCTGCTTTCCTCCCTCAACGCCATCACTTCTCTGCCGATGACGAGTCCAAATCTCTTTCCAGAACATGATCCTTGTGCACCCCATCAGCCTATGAACACTTTTTCTGAACGTGCCACAAGCATTTCAAACTCAACATGTCCAACACCAACCTCTCCCGAGCCAACATTTCCTCCTCTCCTGCTCTGAATGATAACCCCAAAATCATAAGTGAAGTCACCCTTGGTGACTTTAGATCCCGCTCAACCAGTCACAGTCTATTTAGTGTACTATTGAGGCCTCTTCCCCAGTATCTCTCCATTGTATCCCTAGTTCAAGCACCATCATCTCATACCTGAGTTACTGCAATGGACTTCGAAATGGGCTCCCTGCCCCAAATTTTGCTCTCCTAGTCCATTCTCTACACAACAATCGAGTAGCCTGTCTACTGATGCTTCCTCTGCCCTCCAGTGAGTCCTAAGTTTCCTCAGAATAAAGTTCAGCCTCTTTAAGAATCGTGCCCCCAAGTCCTCTGCTATTTGCCTCTGTTTACATTATTTTCCAACTTCCTTATCTCTGGGCCTCTGCAAAGCTCTTTGCTCTGCCTGGCACATTGCTCTCATTATGAGCAACTCTTCACCCCCCTCAGCTACTTTATTCTTACACATCCTTCAGGGGTCAGAATAAATATACCGCATTTGGAAAGTTTCCCTTTCTCTGCCAAGACTTAGGAGTTCATACCTATCGGGGTTTTTGGTTACAAAGGAGGGAAATTTGCCCTGGACAAATTAGGTAGAAAGGAATTTATTGCAACTCCTCTTAAGAGATCTGCAGGATGTCCAGACAGTCAGGTTTAGAAACAAAAAATAGGGACTGGGCTGCACTCACATCATGGTGGAGTAGAGACACTGGGATCACCTCCCCTAGAAGCAACTATTAAAAAATATATTTGCTCAAAGGAAGATTCAGAAGTTCCCCAACAGAGTCCCAGGACTTTCCTATGGAGGATTTGCACTAAGGTTGGTGGCTTGCTACAGGGAAGAAGGAGGTGACGTGAAGTGTGGCCGGGAAAGAAGACACCTCGGCCTGCAAACAGGTCAGGGGGTCAGTCACCCACACGCTGGAGCACGGGGAGTTTCTCTGGAGGGACATTTCAGAAAGCGGATGCAATTGTGGTGAGTGAGGGTCCTTCCTGGGACACCGGGAGTTCCATGATGGGCACAGGTGAGGGAAGCTCTTCCCCCAACCCTCTTTCAGAAAAGAGAGAAGAGTCTTCGGGTGGAGCCAGGCCACATCTGACTGCAGGCCTAAGGGCAGAGAAGGAATGGTGAGAGAGAATCTGTCACTCTCTCGGAAAGGATCAAGCAGGCACACAGCACTTGCAGTCCAGGTCCCTCAGGGTGGCGGTAGTGGCAGTGGCTGCAGAAGCGGCCATGGATGACGCTGTAGCTGGGCGATGGGACATACACTCTGCTGAGGCACCCTCTGCCTCTCAGGCCCAAGATTTGAGTCCTGTGGACCAGAACCAGCCCCCCTCAACAGAAGATTCAAGATTTATGGCAGAAGGAGCAGTAGGGAGGTGGGGGAGGAAGTTGGGACAACCAAAGCATCTAAGAGAGCTTGCGGTGGAGAGAGAGGGGAGGAGGCAGAGGTGATCAACCTAAATCCACAACAAAACTGAGCATGTAAGCCCCAGACTCCCCTCCTGCCTGGACCTCACACCAGGGTAAACTAGGAAGAGAAACAAAAATAAACCCATAATTCCCCAATCACAAAAAAGCAAATAAGGCAACACACATGACAGGAGGCAGGGAACATCTGAACACAAGAGTAAAAAGCAACAAGAGAACAAATGCTCTGGAGGCACATACAGAAAGCAGAGAGAGGATCCATCAGACAAAATGCTAATAAATGAGCTACTAGAAGATCAGCCAAAGGCAGACAGGTCAGTGCAAGGGTTAAAGACAGAGCTATCTAGCTATCGCCAGCCACTGCAGCAGAGTTCAATCCCCAGACAGCCAGGGAGAAACCCACATGGCACAGGAGACCTCTCCTGTCTCACCTGCTGCTCCCCTCAGCAGTGTATTTCATTACATCTGCCTATTCTGCTCCCCACTCTCTCTGGTCAATGTTCCCACTCCCCCACCCCTGCACCTCTGGCTTACACCCCAGTTCTTATATGCATAAACAAATATATTTTAAAAAAAACTTTGACTGACAACCTGATGAGTATTGTTGCAAAAATCCTAGCAAGCCCAATACAGCAACATATTAAGAGAATCATCTACCGTGATCAAGGATACAAGCCTGTATCTACAATCAATCAATCTCATTCACCAGATCAACAAAAAGGAAGATAAAAATCACACGATCATTTCAATAGGTTCTAAAAATGCATTTGATAGGATTCAATAAACTCTCTCAATAATATGGGAATAAATGGAACTCATCAAAACATTATAAAAGCCATATATGACATTTAACAATCCATAGCCAATGTCAGTCAATGGTGAAAAGTAGGAAGCATTTTCACTAAGATCAGAAACAAGACAAGGATGTCCAGTGTTACCATTATTGTTCACCATAGTACTGGAAGTCCTAGTTGGAACAATTAGGCAAGAAAAAGACATAAAAGTTGGTTAGACAGAACCACAGAAATAGGCTGGCTAGGAAAGTACCATAAACACCATCCCAACCCTCATCAGACACCAGAGCTTCCCCTGCCAGGGTCTGAATGAATTTCCAGTGATACTGGGTCCCGGATCACAGCCCCAGGCTCATGAGTGCGACTGAGTGTGCATCATGTGTCCACACTTGCTTTAGGAGACCAAGAATCTGGCCTTTGGGATCCCTGTTGCATTAAGTCGGCTCTGACTCTCACCCAGACTTACAGTTGCAGGAGAAAAAAAAGAGAACTGGGGAGGATCTCCCTGGTGGCGCAGGGGGTTGGGATGCAACCTATGAGGCTGTCTGCAGCCGCAGCAGCACAGGTTCAATTCCCCGCCAGAGAGCTACCCACATGGCGCAGCAGACCTCTCCTGACTCGCCCGCTGCTCCCCTCAGCAGTGCGTTTCAGTCAATCTGCCTGTTCTGTTCCCCGCTCTGTCTCTGGTGAATCCTCTCGCCCTCACACCTCTGGCTTGCACTCCAGTTCTTGCATGTATAAATGGATAAATCTTTAAAAAAAAAAAAAAAAAAAAGGAACTGGGGAGACTACCATAAAGAAAAAGAATTGTCCACTATGAGGCCACTGTTGCATTCCTTCATCTCAACACTTACTATGCTGCATTATGACAACTTGCTTCCCGCCACTGTATTGAGACAAGAGCTCAGAGTGGGTGAGGAGTGTGATTCTTATTCATTGCTCTAGAACAGTGAACAGTGCTGGGCTCTGAAAGAGCAGGAAATAGGTACTGAATGCAAAAAGGAATCCAGGTTTCGTGCAACCTAATTTCATATAATGGGGAGGGGGGTTCGAAAGGAAGACCAAAAGGAATCCTGTGTAAGATGATAACCTTAAGACTTAAGCATCACATGGGCCTTCCTGGTGGCAGTGTCGGTTTGATTCCTGGCCGGCCAGGGAGATTCCCACATGGTAGGGCAGACCTCTCCTGTCTCGCCCGCTGCTCCCCTCAGCAGTGTGTTTCAGTAGATCTACTTGTTCTGCTCCCCACTCTGTCTCTGGTGAATCCTCTCACCCCCCCATACCTCTGGCCTGTACCCCAGTTCTTGTATGCATAAATAAATATTCAAAAAATAAAAATAAATCACATATTTTATGAAACATTGATTAACCACTAGTATATTTCTCCATTCATATTTCCAAATTCATCACAAAATCTTTGGCCAGGTTTTGGTCTTGAGCTACGGTCTGAATCATCCAATGAGGTTTTCAAGAGAACACAACCTTCCCTTTCATCGTATTGCTTGCGGCCTAGGCAGATATGATAGTTGGGATTCAAAACACAATCACTGCTTTCTCTCTGGAAACACTGAGCAGTGACTATTAAGTCACCAGTGTGATGTGGACACTGCATGGCCTCACTGCACTTGTGGCATCAGTAACGCACCCACCAGTCATTCCTGCAGTTCTTACACTACCCCCCTTCTGCTCCCCCCCACTCCAATGAGTGTATCACGGGAGCTGCAGAAGACAGTTCACCCCCAACAACCCCATTCTATGCAGCCTGAACAGGTTCTCTCTCTTTTCGTCATCCTCACTCCCACATGCCCACCCCATCATCTACCCCAGACCTTCACTCCTGAACTTCCCCATGCATCTGCTTATCTGTCCTCATCTCTCCCACCTTTCCCCTAGAACCCGTCCTTCACACTTTCCATGGTGTCTGTCACCAGCAAATGTCCCTGTGCGCGCAATCTCTCCTCTGAACATCCCTGTCACCTTCTTGCTCTAAGGGGAACCTGGCTGTCTCCTGAAGCCGTCACTTCCCCGGCCTTTCTCTCGTGGCAACAGCCTTAGTGCCGGCTGGTGCTCACCCTGCTTCCCACCAGCACTTTCCAAACACCACTTCTCCTTCCTTGACCCAGACCCTTGGAAGTTCTGGTAGTGAGACTTTAATCCTCCTTCATGTGCTAACTTTCCTGTGCTTCAAAATAACTAGTTCACGTCTTCTCTTCTTTCCCTAAGATTCCCTCCCTCTCCACCCCAGCTGGAGCTGATGAAATTTCCTTGCCATGACAGAGTGGGGAGCAGAACAGGCAGATCGATGGAAATACACTGCTGAGAGGAGCAGCGGGTGAGACAGGACAGGTCTGCTACGCCATGTGGGTTTCTCCCTGGCCGGGGATCGAACTCATGCTGCAGAGGTTGCAAACAGCTTCATAGGTTGCGTTTTAACCCCTTGCGCCACCAGGGAGGGCCCATGTCTTTCAACCTTGTAAAGAAAACAACAAACTAAAACCGTGGGTGTTCCTCCAGGCAGGGCACATGTAATGACACACAACCTCAATACTTAAGTATAGTCTTTAGACTAGTGTCACCTGGGAGCTTATTAGAAATGCAAAATATCTGGTCTCATTCTAGATCTACTAGATCAGAATCTCTAGATGATTCATTAGCCCATTAAAGTTTTTGTTTGTTTTAATTTAGCCCATTAAAGTTTGATGAGCCCTGATAGACGACCTAATGCAGGTCCCCTTGCTGGCCACCAAGGATTGTACTGCATCCCCAGCCACAGTGGCTCTGGGCCTCAGCTTCTAGCTCACGGAGAAGCAAGCCTGCCCACATCATCTTACCAAACTACTGACTTGCCAATAATTGCCCTGATATGTGACTTCCATCTCACTATGGATGAAGATTCCCAGCTCTTTCCAAAGCTCAAACCCTCTTCTCATTTTTGGATCTCATTTCCTGGGGTCAAGTAGCTATAAGGCATTTGCCGCCCCCCTAATGCCCCCTCAAGGGAAAAAGGGGCTGTTGGGCACAGCGCAACTGTCATTGTGAATATACTGCCAGCTCATGTGACCACTGAGAGCTTCAAAGCTGCCTTGAGTAGGGGTTTTGGACAAGATCATTTTGCAGGATGAGTCCCTGGGTCATCTCAGATGATCTGGAGGGTAGAAACCTGAGTTCTGTGATTTCCACGAACCATGAAAAAGGACGAGCCTGATACTGAAGTCAGAGAGTTCAAACTAGACTGACCAAAGGCTGCAAGGTTTTAACATCCATTAAAACAAGCCCAGAATTGGGCCTCCCCGGTGGCGCAGCTGTGTGAAACTGCCCGCGGCCTCTGCAGCACCAGTTCGATCCCCGGCTGCTCCCCGACCACCGGAGGAGGGTCCCACATGGCGCGCAGACCTCTCCTGCCGCCCGCTGCTCCCCTCAGCAGTGTACTTCGGTCCTTCTGCCTGTTCTGCTCCCCGCTCTGGCTCTGGTGAATTCTCTCACCCTCCCGCGCTTCTGACTGTACCCAGTGCTTGTATAAATAAATAAATAATAATTAAAAAAAAAAAAAAAGCCCAGAATTTGTCCCTCTCATAATTGTTAGTGGACAAGGAATATGGTGGCACTTACTTCTCTTACCTCCTAGGCCCAAGAATGCGCCTTCCTTCTGCCTCAGCTGGAAGCGGCAGGCTGGAGATCACCAGGGAGCGAGTCTGCACACAGGCAGCAACACACACTGCAGGCCGGGACAACCTGGCAGCAGGGCTGAAACAGGAAATGAAGTCTCCACTTCTTTCCAGTTGAGGAAATTGGAGCACCAGTTCCCACTGGAGAAATCAAAGCAGTATTGTTTCAAAGAACAAAACAGTCCAGGGGAGAACAAAGGTTTTGGCAGTGATCCCTCTTGGGAGAAGATGCTATCATAGACTCTCCACCGGCCTTGGATAGACCCAGTCTGTCTGGGACTAAAGACCAGCATACAGGTTGCTTATTAGATTCATGCTCAAGAGTCATGGTCTTCCAGGAGTCCGACCAATACTTATTGTCTTCATAATGGTTAAAATAAAAAAAAAAAATCCGGTGAACAATAAAAAGTTTCTAAGAGCAACCTCAGTATTTACAGCCAGAAAGAATGGCGGCACATCCCCTGAAGGGCACATGGATTCACATCAAATGACTGTCATTAATAGTCCAAGTGTAAGCATGAATCCAACAAAATGAATTTGCTAAACACTCACTGTAGGTGGGGCTCCCTGGTGGCGCAAAAGGTTAAGCACAGCACTGTGAAGCTATCTGCAGCCTCTGAGGCACAAGTTCGTTCCCTGAGCCAGGCCAGGAGCTACCTACCTGGCAGACCTCTCCTGTCTTGCTCACTGCTCCCCTTCAGTAGATCGATGTGTTCTGTTCCCCACTCTGTCTCTAGTGAATCTTCTTACAACCCAGCACTTATACCCCAGTTCTTATATGCATAAATAAATCTTTTTTTTTTAAAAAAAACCCCACTGCAGGTGAGAAGAACGGGGTTACCAGAGGCCTCACAGAAGAGAATCCAATCTTTTCTTACAACCTTCATTCCTAGATAAGATTCAGATTTAAGAGCAAAACATAAATCAGTCCCTACTTCTTTGCCACGTCTTATGCTCGGCCCTTGGAAAACAGATCAAAAAGAGAGAATCCCCGCCGTGGAGCTCCGGGACACATGAAGGATCATTTCAATCAATAGTGTGGGCTCATTCAGGGCAGAAGTGAAGAACCTGACACATTTCACTCTCTAAGGCACACACAAGAAAATCAGTTTATGACACTGAATCATCAAAAAGAGGTTTAAATACCTGACTCAGTAGCTGTCATGTGAGATAAAGAGAGGGGTGCAACTGAGAAAGGGCACACGGGAAGCTTCTGGTAGGGGCACAGGTGATGCATTATTTTCATATTTACTATAGTATATATTCTTTTGTCTGCATGATAAAAATAAGACATGAAAATGAGTCTGACAACACCGAGTTTTCTGATTGAACTCAATGAGAACTCTCCTTTCCCCAGCCTCCCAGATGTCCAGAACAGGATGCTCTAGGTCTTTCGTTATTGTTAAATCATTTTGAAACAGGGTTTTCTCTTACTTGTCACCAAAATAATTTTAATTGCAAAAGGGTTACATGTAGAATGCAGCATTTTCCTGATGTGTCTGTCTACGAAACTCTTTAAAGGGTATCTTCTGGGACTAGCATTTCATGGAAAACACTCTGGGGAACAACCTGGGTTAGAAATCTATTTAAGAGATAGAACTGGGCCTCCCCAGTGGCGCGGCGGTTGAGCACTGGGTTGCGAAGCTGCCCACAGCCTCTGCAGCGCCGGTTCGATCCGCAGCTGCTCCCCGGCCAGCAGAGGAGGGTCCCACATGGCGCGCAGACCTCTCCTGCCGCCCGCTGCTCCCCTCAGCAGTGTACTTCAGTCCTTCTGCCTGCTCTGCTCCCCGCTTTGGCTCTGGTGAATTCGCTCACCCTCCCGCGCTTCTGACTGTACCCAGTGTTTGTATAAATAAGTAAATTTAAAAAAGAAAAAAGAGAGAGAGAACTGACAAGAAGGTGAGTTCATAAATTTAGTGACTTCTGGATAAGATATTTAAAAATCCAATCATTTTGCACTAAGTATTCATTTCACTAATTAGCTGTGGGGTAAATGAACAAACACAGATTTACCCTAGAGTGTTGCAACAGTAGCCATCAGCTATGTCAAGGAAAATGCATTAAAACATTGTGTATTTAAAAACTCAGTATTTTTAAAATAAAATGTTACAAAAATATAGTTGCTATTGTAAGCAGAACAGGGAAAAAAGAACGAAAGAAAAACAAGAGTAAATATACATATTTCACTCGCAAGAATAGAAAATCTGTGTCTATGAAACCAACAGGCCCAAAAAAGCAGACATGGTTTACAATTATTCGAAATACAAATATCTCCAGTACCTAATGCAGTTGCGGTAGGTCAGACACTGTTTAACAGTCTCTGCAATGATCCTGGAATGTTAAAACTTAAAAGGATCTCAGACAACATTTCATAGATAAGAGATACTGACACTAAAAAAATGAAGCATTTTGTCACATCCCTGTGAGTGGTAGGGTTGCATTATTGGCCAGGGCAGCATTACCGGGATCTGGTAACACTGAGATTGTAAGGATGTACAGACATCTAGGCGAACTTGATTCACCTGGCACACGTACCTGTTCCCGCACTCCTGAGGCCATAGGGCAGCATGTAATGCTGCAAAAACCAAGGCACCAGAAACTATCTATAGGAAAAAGATGCTGCAGTGTTAGTTTCAAGAGCGGAAAAGCTTCTCCTTTAAAAGGTCTTTCTTGCCTCTACTGGCTACCTTTCCCCAGAGAAGAAACTGTTCATTAGTAGAATCAAAACAAGGGATACTTTAAAAGCTCCAGGAAAGTCCTATTTCCTGAAGATTAAAAAAAAATTTTTTTGGGCCTCCCCGGTGGCGCAGCGGTTAAGCGCTGGGTTGTGAAGCTGCCCGCAGCCTCTGCAGTACCGGTTCAATCCCCGGCTGCTCCCCGGCCACTGGAGGAGGGTCCCACATGGCGCGCAGACCTCTCCTGCCGCCCGCTGCTCCCCTCAGCAGTGTACTTCGGTCCTTCTGCCTGCTCTGCTCCCCGCTCTGGCTCTGGTGAATTCTCTCACCCTCCCGCGCTTCTGACTGTACCCAGTGCATGTATAAATAAATAAATAAATCTTTTAAAAAAATAAATAAATAAATAAATTTTTTTTTCCTCAAGAGGAACTAGGAAGAAGCAAGGATTTTTAAAAGGCTGACCTATGAAAGAGTAACGCATCCAGTCTTAGTCTAAAGAAGCATCAGTCAAGTTGGTGGGTACTGCCAGACACTCTGAACCCGACGGGAGCACAGGGAGTATTTTACCATATAATCATCACTGAATCTGCCTTCACAACCCTCACTAGACTCCATGAGCTGGCAGTCTTCTTTTTTTTTTTTAACTTTCTAGAGGCATGTTTTGTTTATTTGTTTGTTTATTTGTTTGTTTATACATGCACTGGGCACAGTCAGAAGCTTGGGAGGGTGAGAGAATTCACCAGAGCCAGAGCGGGTTGCAGAGCAGGCAGAAGGACCGAGGTACACTGCTGAGGGGAGCAGCGGGCGGCAGGAGAGGTCTGCGCACCCTGTGGGACCCTCCTCTGGGGCCGGGGAGCAGCCGGGGATCGAACCGGTGCTGCAGAGGCTGCGGGCAGCCTCGCAACCCAGCGCTCAACCGCTGCGCCACCGGGGAGGCCCTGGCACAGCCTTCTTATGGAAAATGCCCAATTTGGAAACCTCCTTTTAAAAATAGTAATTCAGTGGAGGAAGCAATTTACAGTCAGGGTCACAGTAACAACGTGGTTTTTCTTGCCTAAATTTAAGAAAGAAAATATTTAAAAAATTGAATAGCTCTAATTACACTTGTGGTACTTGGTCTGTTACAGGGCAGGGAGAGGGGCAGCCCAAGGTCTGCTTCTGAATTAACATCAAAGCCGACGGCAATCACAGTCTAATTGTGACAGATCCATTGGAGGCTTTTGAACCTTCAGAGTATGGGAGAAATGGCTGGTTTCAGATGAGGAAAGCGGCGTGACCGGAGACGTAACTTGCCCAAGGCCAGGCGGCACATCAGTGTCACAGTGTTAGGGGGAAAAGGATGTCCTAAAGCTAATTCCATATAGGCTTTGTGGACTCCACCCCCACCCCAGGCCAAAGCCAGACACTGGGAACCCCAATTCCCATCACCACCAAAGGGAAGGCGGCTGGGACCTGAGGGTGGGGTTCAGCAGCCAGGTTGGTATAAAGCCAGACTCGTGGGCTTTGGAGGGGTCCCCCATTTTGGCTCTCCGCCAGCTCGCAGTGTCAGGCCAGCTCTGAGAGTGACTTTGGGTTTCCAGGTCGTCGGATCGGGTAGGACGCATTAAAGACTTTATTTCCCTATTTTCTCCCTGAGTTGTACATTTTCCTTATTTCCTTTTCTCTTGTAAATAAACCTTTTATTAACCTTTTGTGTGTGCCTGGAGTGGAGTAGTAATAAGTCCCTTGTAAGCGCGCGGGTGAGGACCCACAGCCAGGAACCCGTTCAATATCGGGGCTGCCCTATAGCTACAGAACAAGGCTGCATTCCAGGACTCCTGGGTTCCAGCATCTCGGCTCTGGACCAGCCACTCCCTGCAGCCTCACCCGGCCTCACCCGCGCGCAGAGGGCCCAGGCGCGGGCCCAAGATGGCGGCGCAGGAAGCCCCGGACTCGCCTCCGCCGCCCACGGCTGCTTCACAAACACCAGCACCGCGCGCCCCGGGGCGGGGAAGGCTGGGACGCCGCCTCCCCGCGATGGGAGGGATCTCGAAACCCAGAGTTTCTCGCCTTACGGGCGAAGGATTTGTACCCAACTTCAAGCACCCCAACTTTCAATACCAGCACCCCATCCACGACCCCCGCCCCGTCCCGTCCCCGCCTCGAGGGGCCGCGCGACCTGAGAACCAGCCCTTGAAGGGTCGGTGCTCAGACTCACCCCGGGACGCGGCCTGCAGCAGCCTGGAAGGAGCCCAGGCGAGGGAACCAAGCGCCGCGGCTCACTTGTTAAAGCCTTGGGCTGAGGGCCGGGGCCTGCCGGGATGCGCTCCGGCGACGGGGGCTCGTGGGTGCCATCTTCCGCTTCCCCGAGCCTTGCTGAGGCCGGCGGGCGCCATCTTTTCCTTTTCTTAGTTTGTTTCCACTGCTGCGCTCTTTGCGCTCCCGCTCTGCACGCTCCGCTCCAGAGCTCCGGCAACCCCTCAGGGGAGCTTTTACCCGAGTCTGGTGACCCAGATCTTGCAACTGCAGCCCCTGATGGCCTGGCTCTGAAGGCCCGAGGCTTGCTTAATAGTTCCATGGCTGGAATAATAGGAGTCAGTGCTTGGTACCTCGGGTACCACCCTGAGGGCATTGCAGACTGAGGGAGACGCCAGCCTTTCTTGGAAAAAAGGCCCTACTGGGACCTTCCCTGGTGGCGCAAGGGGTTAAGCACTGTGCTATGAAGCAATCCGCAGCCTCCTTATCACGAGTTCGATCCCCGTTGGACCCACATGGCGCAGCAGCCCGCTGCTCCCCTCAGCAGTGTATTTCAGTCTGCCTGTTCTGTTCCCCACTCTGTCTCTGGTGAATCCTCTCACCCCCTGCATCTCTGGCATGTATCCCAGTTTTTATATGCATAAATAAATAAATCTTTTAAAAAATGCGTACAGCAGGTCCTCAAATAATGTCATTTTGTTGTAAGATTGATGAGAAGGAAAAAACAAAAACAAACCCAGTCCTGGGGCTGCTGTATAGCTTGTGCACATTCTTCTCATGTCTCGTGGGTTTTCTCTGGGTTCTCCAGCAGTGCCCTCCCACCTCCCCAAGATGTGCTCCGCTAGGGTTAGGCGTTTCTCCAGGGTCCTGCTCTAGTGAGTGGCTGTGGTGCCCGCTGCCCTGTCAGGGTGTCCCGGCTTTGTGCCCTGAACTGCGGAGACAGCCTCTGGCCGCCGGAGGCCCTAAACTGTAATATGCGAGTTGGGAGCAAATTGATAATCGGAATTGTCAGGCCTGGTCTGCAGGGCAGCGCTGAGTCCCGGCCACTAGACCCCCACGGGTTGGTGTCTCACGAAGCCGCAGCAGGAACTTCGCAGACTCTCAGGTAAGCAAGCGAGAAGAGGCAGGTTTGTTCAGAGAAAGAAAAAGTTTTATTGAGGAGAAAAGGAACAGAAATAAAGTGGGATTCCCCAGGCCAGGGAACCAGGCCAGGGAGGGGCAAGGAAGCCAAAGTGGAGTCGTGTCTCAGGGACTATAGATCTTCTTTCCCTCATTATTCTGAAGCCCCCCAGTCTCTTTGTGATTGGTTACTTCTCAGCTGTCTCCCTTAATCTGCTACTGAGCAGGGGATCTTCACATTCCTTATCTAACAGGTTTGTCTTTCCCCATTTGTTACACCTTCCCCCTTGATAGATTTATCTTTATGGCCCAGTCTCCCAGATGAGCACCCCTGCATTTTAGGGAAGAGAAAGTTAAACATCAGCTATTGAAGAAAAACAGGGTGGCGCCCACTGGTGCTGACCCCATCCCGTCTCCCCCTTGCATAAATTTCCCTGCACTCTGACAAAGGGGAGGACGGTGGTCTACCAGACATGAGTCTGCTGCCCTCCTAATTTGTCCATAAATTAAACCACTCTCCGTTTCCCCAAACCCCATCTCCCTTTATCACCTGAGAGAAACCAAGGCCAGCGTTAACAATGTTGTCCTTGGTGCTGGGATGTTTATTATTCCCAGTGGAATTAGTTACATTCCTCTTGTTGCCCTTACCTCTGAAGCCTTCCTAAACTCTTCAGAGGTCCCCTCCAGCAATGTCCCTAAAACTGCCTAATTACCCTAACTTGCTCTCGGATTCAAAATGAATGAATGAATACAAATTATTATGGTTTTTTTAAAGATTTATTTATGCATGCAAGAGCTGGGGTACAGGCCAGAGATGCAGGGGTGACAAGATTCACCAGAGTGGGGAACAGAACAGGTAGACTGACTGAAATACACTGCTGAGGGGAGCAGCGGGGGAGAAAGGAGAGGTCTGCTGTGACATGAGGGTAGCTCCCTGGCTGGCCAGTGATCAAACTCGTGCAGCAGAGGCTGCAGATTGCTTCATAGTGTGGTGCTTAACCCCTTGCGCCACCAGGGAGGCCCACAAATTATTGTTTAATATCAGATGTTGGGTCTTTATGTAGAAGTTTGGTGGTGTTTTTGTGACAGGAAATATGAACTAAACTTGTTTATGTTAATTAGCTTATGGTAAAATTAGTTTCCAAGTTGTTTCACTTAAAGTCGCAGTTTCTGAGAACCTAGTGACAACTTTGTGTGTTCTTTTGTCCAGGAATCGGGCCAATTTGACACACTTGAAGGCGCCTACAAAGCTGCTCTCAGGGAAAAGAGGTTGGAGTGTGCAATGTTTGCACTATCCTTCTGCCTCTTCCGGTACTTTGGTATCATTCAGAAAGGAGTTTAAGCCCTTGCTTGTCTGGTGCCCTTTTTTTTTTTTTTTTTATTTATTTATTTATTTATTTATATAAGCACTGGGTACAGTCAGAAGCACGGGAGGGTGAGAGAATTCACCAGAGCCAGAGCGGGGAGCAGAGCAGGCAGAAGGACTGAAGTACACTGCTGAGGGAAGCAGCAGGAGAGGTCTGCGCACCATGGATGGCCGGGGATCGAACCAGCGCTGCAGAGGCTGCGGGCAGCTTCGCAACCCAGCGCTCAACCGCTGCGCCACCCGGGAGGCCCTGGTGCCCTTATTTTTGCAGTGGCTGCCAGGGAACCTCTATATTGCCTGGCTCTGCCAGTGGGGCTTACACTTGCAGGTCCCACAGGACTGTAACTGTGGAAACTCGTTTGAGCCAGACTCCATCATATCTCTAAGCTGTCCTGTTGAGGTGTCTGGTAAAAATCACACAGCCTGACTTAGCCATTTGGCGACTGTGAAAAAACATGAGATTGATTGCTGATTTTGACAGCAGATTGAAGCCTTCACTTTGAAGACTTTTGCCTCCCAGCCACAGACAGAAAATGGACTTGAGAACTAATACAAAAAAGTTCACAAGTCACCTAACCTTAGAGTATTTTCCTGCTTGATCCTTTAAATTCATCACCCTGGTGGTACATACACCCTTGGGATTGTCCCTTGGTAGTGACCCCATCATGATGTCTATCCTCGAATAAATACTTTTTGATTATATTACTACCCCCAGGGTATATCAAGAGCAACAGCCTTAAGGCTCAGCCTTTTTGTGGAAAAAAAAAAAAACTATTAGTTAATTAATCATCATAGCTGCAGCCTGAGAGGGCAGACTGCTAATTATATACACATCTAAAGGCCGACTATGAACAGAGGGCCAGTCTCTCAGAGAGGAGCTCTTTACATGTATCTGATACCCCAGTTTTTACAGCTGCTGCCCAGGGGATTTGATGTTCCAGCATGGTGACTATAGTTGAGAATACAGTAAAGCATTTTTGAAAGTTGCTAAGAAAGTAGATGTTAACAGTTATCACAACAACAAAAAATTTTGTAACTATGTGTTGTGACCTACACTTGTGATCATTTTGCAATACACACCAGTATCAAATCATGTTGTATACATGAAAAGAACATAATGTTACATATTAATCAACCCTCAATTTAAAAAGAGAAGTGAAAGACTGACGTGCAGGCTCGAGGACAGCAGAACTGCTGTGTTCCCAAAGGCAATGGCAGCAGAGCACAGGCAGCAGGCCAAGTCACGTTTCTTTGTTAAACGGGCCTTCCACCCCTGGTTATTTTTGTCAGCTTGACTCCAAACTGTGGCCAAAAGGGAGTTATGCCTGAAGAACTGCACACTGGCTTCTGATGTGAACAACATGGCCAGGGAGAATACTGCTCTTTTGCTAATCTGAGGGCAAACATCAGAGAACTATCTGTATTATGGTAGAACTGACTCCAAAATTGCAAATGAAGATGTGTACTCAAAAGCACATCTGAAGCCATAATCTGGAGCAGGCAATGAAGGAAACATTAGAGAAATCTCTCTGCAATGTTAAATCCTCCCATAAAATAGCCTTCCCAAGAGCTATCAATGTACTTTTTGCTCAGTTGCTCCTTGAAATTGAGTCCTCAGTTGGAAGATCAGGTTTTCGTTATTTGGAGATTACAGAACTAATATCTAGTAAAACTAACACCTTGTTTTAGGTGACATGTTGGAAAAAGCAGGGAGACAGAACTGGATTCTACTTTGAACCTCACCTTTTCCAGCCTGTGTGAACTTCTGAATTTCAGGCTGTCTTGCTTCCCTTACAGTTAGTTCCTAAGTCACACATTCAACTCCACCACCAGTAACACATCTCTACCCACTTCACCCCCTTCTCTACTTGGTCTTTTCTTTTTTATTTTTTTTTTCTTTAAAGATTTTATTTATACAAGAGCTGGGGTATAGGCAGAGGCACGGGAGGGTGAGAGGATTCACCAGAGACAGAGTGGGGAGCAGAACAGGAGGGCAGAGTGAAAGCACTGCTGAGGAGAGCAGCTGGCGAGACAGGAGAGGTCTGCTGTGCCATGTGGGCATCGCCCTGGCCAGCCAAGAATCGAACCCACGCTTCAGAGGCTGTGGACAGCCCCACAGTGCTGCTGTGCTCAACCCGCTGCACCACCAGGGAGGCCCAGTCTTTTTATTTTTTTTATGTATACAAGAACTGGGGTGTAGGCCAGAGGTACAGGGGGTGAGAGGATTCACCAGAGACAGAGTAGGGAGCAGAACAGGCACATCTACTGAAATATATTGCTGAGGGGAGCAGTGGGTGAGACAGGAGAGGTCTGCTGTGCCATGTGGGTTGCTCCCTAGATGGGGATCCAAACTCATGCCCCAATGGCTTGTGGTAGCTTGATAGCGCTGACTTAAACACCTGCAGCACCAGGAAGACCCTGCGGGTCAGTGTTTTGAGTCATTTCAATTCTCCTGTCCTTTGGGAAAACTTTCTTCTTCCAACGATGACCTGTTTGGCATCATCCCTTAGTGCTCCTT